TTCAACGAATTCAATATACCAGCCAATCCTTCTACCACTGTAATGCACCTTGGTGACACACCTGTTGTACTTATTAAAGCAAAGACATCACTCTTGAATTTACTACTATCGTACGCGATCTTAGTGTGACGACTGACCCAGGGTCAAGCAAGAAGTGTAGCACACGATTGCTGGTTACGACCTCCCCCTCCCTCTTATTGCTGTCTCAATAAGAAACCCCCCTGAACTACTCTAATTTCCGGGGTATAAGGCGCAGTAGCTTTCACCGCGCGCGGACTGTTGTATGACGACGTTCGCGATGCGCGGCACCGCACAAGCAGCCAACAGCAATCTCTTTCACCCAGCAGTAGCTCTTTGCTTCTGTTCTTTGCTATTTTCCTTTCAATAGTGATTTTTTTCAGAATAAATCTCCACCTTTTTTGTTGATTCTTCAAGAATGATAAAAATAGAACCAAAGCCTTCAAAATATCAGTAGTATCATCGTAAAGAATTTGACCAGTTTCAGTACCACTGGCATTATTGAAAACGAAGGAAAGCACAAAAGTAGCACCGGTAACATTATTGGAAACAAAACAAAGAATCAACTAAACACCTAAACACCATTGAGAGTACATTCTTCCCACTTGTAGAAACGATATCAAAGTATGCATCCGAGAAGAGGAAAAAATACCTGGAGGCATGATTTATGGGCAGCGAAGAATGACCACAGCACACCGAGCTCAGCTTTTTAGATTCAAAGAACAATCATTTAGAAAGCGTCTTCGCGCAACTATTCGCTGCGGCGGGTGCGCCTTATACAAGGTGCGCCTTATACCCCTGAAATTAGGGTATATACCAAAGATAGCATTACTTGAAGGCCATGTCAAACACAACGGGCAACATATCCATAATTAGCCTGTCAATTAACCCCTGTAGACAATGTTTGAGCAAATTGGGAAGTTTCAAGATAGTGGGTCACTCAAGTAAATCGCCATTTTCCAGCATGATTAACTCTGTTTAAGGTGAAGTAACTAGCTGTTTTGCACTCAAGACAAAGCACTACTCCTTCTTTGGCCACTACAGAATCTTAGCTTCAAAAGGCCTTCCAACTTTGGAATTAGAAGCCAACCAAAATCTTGTTTTACCTATTTTTCGCTTTTAATGGCTGTGCTTTCACCAAATATTACTCAGAGCTAAGAAGACGAATCAGGCGCAAATCACTCCTATGAGATCTACGAGGTCCTAGGCTATCGACTCATATAAACAAAGTTCGCTAAAAAAATTTTTTTGGTATAATCAATGGGGTGAGGCACCACCCCTAAAAAACTGTGGCTGCCACAGCTTTTTAGGGGTGCCACACCCCATTAACTTACCTTCAGACAGATCAAATAGCTGCGTTTTATCGTTGCTACTGCTTAACATTCTTCTTCACACAGCAGAAATTTCATATGAAAGCGTTTCTTTAAGAGCAAGATATGATCGTTTTTCCTTACCCATGCAGATGCAAAATACTGGTAAAGTTTTGCGAAAATATTGGGATATGGTGGCATGCTAAGTCTGCACTATTACGTGAATCTATTGGGTTGTAAAGAAAGTTCCCGCGCACTCTTGGAAATTTCATGTTCAAACGCATTTTTTCGGCGCTCGGTCGGACTTTGACAACAAGTTTTTTATACTGTTCAGTAGAAGGAAGCCTGAAGTTTTTAACAAGCCGTCTGACTTTTATCAATGCCAAGACATGTTTGATCTGCACGTCAAGAAAGAGAAATCTTTCCAACCACAAAAATTTCAAAATTTTCTTCATGTGGCCATTTTTTCGTGCAATTCAAATAGTTTCATCCAAATCATGGGTGATTTGATTGGCAAGGCTGTTAGCTTCTGACTCGCAGCTGCATTCGAGTTTTGCGACTTGCGCTCAGGAATTGCAAGCTGTCGAACTTGTCTCTGACTGCAACTTTTTTCGCAGCTGCGGTTATCGCCACGCCTGCACGATGGGTCCAAAAGGTGTGCAAGGCATCACTCCAACAATGTTCTCAATAACCAAAGATTTGGACCTTTCTGTGCAGAACTAGAAGACTTCAAAGTTACTTACTCGAAAAATGGTGCATTTTTAGGGGCAAAAAATGGTCTTTTTCAAACTTTTTAAGGAAAATTTTTTTGCAGGTGGTACTTTAAAAACATGAATGGTCCCCATAGCAGCCCCAGCAGACCTCTATATAACTACAGCATCTGGGCTCGGGTGGAGGACTATATGTCGCCGAATTTGGAAGAGTCCCGCGCGGATTCCCTGCAGGAACGCATGTCCGCGCATGTACAAGGATGCGTATTTGTCGCAAATGACCGCAGGGACCGCCCTTTTTCGGCGACATATAGTCCCCCTACCTCTGGGCTCTCCAGCTCTCATCATGTTTGAGATAATCCTGCACAAACAAGCCACTTTTCGCAACAACCTTTTTGTCTTCTGCGCATGCTGGTGGACCGCAATGAGGCGCTGAGAAGCCAGCAAGACAAACATATGTTGTGGACAAAATTATCTTTGCAATGAAGTTTGTAGCTAGCTTCAAACTTCATTGCAAAGAGCTTCAGCTTTGTAGCTTCAAAAAAGAATCAATCTGCTTGAAGTTATAGCGATTTAAAAAAACTTTTTGCAATTGCCCGGGAACTTATTTTACAACCTAATACATTATAGTGAAGTTTCATTGGTCTTCTCTTGCCTGAGATATTGGAAACGAAAAATGGAACAAACGAGATTTTGGCTTGCTCTTAATTCCTTAATTAAGAAGTCATTTGAAGTAGGATTCTTATTGTGAGCGAAACAGTAGTTTTTTGTATTAAGCGCAAAAGAATTAGTCAACTTACCTTTAAAACAAAGTAACAGTTTGAAACGACCATCTCACTTGGGCGGTTTTGTATTTGGAAACCTCAGAATTTGCTGAAACTTGGACCACAGGGGTTATTTTACTGGTAATTACAAAACGATGCTCTTATGCTTTATAGATCTTTAATTATGCTTACAGTACGTATACGATAATGGGTCAAACATCAAGTGCTAGTATTTTGCATGACGGGCCTAACGAATATCATGCTATGCGAACAGCGGACGACTTGATAACGACCCCCCCCCCCCTCCCTAATTCCTCAATACGACGCCCCAGGTGTGGCATGCCACATTCCACGCTTGACACTGCTGACAACTCCATCACGTTCTCTTCTTCTTTTCTCACCTCGTTCATGTAATCAAGAAGTCATCAACATCGCTTTTTACAATTTTTACAAACATATATAGCAACGACCTGATTTTTTCTTGAAATTCCACAAGAGTTATGTTTTACCACATCTCGAATATGCTTCGCCAATTTGGAGCCCATTTTTGAAACGACATATCAATAGAGTTGGAAAAATTTGAAAGACTTTCACGAGGTTATTGTTCTAAAAATGCTTTCCGAACCTTGGATATCCTCAAATTTACCATCTTACCGTTCCCGTCAATATGCTCAAGCTTCAGAGTTTGAAGTATAGGCGTATTCTGAACGATCTAACTCTCTGCTTCCGAATTTTGCGCCTTGAAACTGAACTCAAAGTGAGCAAATATTGGATCTTTAGACCTCGTGGTGAATGACCAGGCAGGTTTGGCGTGCATTATCGTAAATTAGGAAAAAGGCGACCTTATATGACTTTCAATTCTTTTGCTTTATCATAGCTAGTCAAAATTCCAAATTTATCTGAAAAACTAGAAAATGTAAATTTGTTCATCTTCATAACCTCAGTGATTTTTAGACGTATCCTGTACATATCCACCACCTATTGTTATTCCAAATCAAACTCCAGCTACTCGTGCAATCTTCAATCGTAAACGCCGAAGTTTCGCTACCATCTGATGATCAGCCAGTAGAGTGCATAAATTAAACAATATCTGCTTCATATTCCATCACTACTAATTATAATAAATTTATAATGATAAACCAGCTCTCTCATCCAGCGCTTAAACTCTATCTTCATCCCAATGTCCAAATAACAGAACAATTCTAATGACATGAATTAATATGATGTTTCATTTGCCCTAATGCATAATCTAGCTCTTTTCTAAAAGTGACTGTGGAGTCGAGTCAGCTAGCCTTCGCCCGCAGGCTCGCTGGCACTGTGAAAGGGACACTACAGAGGAAGCAAGGTTCTGTTTATCCTGCAATTCCACATCACAGATTGATAACTTGGTTCTATATTTACCTACAGCGTTTCAATTTGTGATTGTTTCTGTTTTTTCTTATCGCGATCATCATGGGATTGAGAACAGCTGGTATCCCATTAGTTGTAGTTCTTTTTTCCTCGGTACGCTTCAAGTGTAGTCATATATAAATAAATGAATAGATAAACAAATAAATAAATAAATAAATCGAATACACGATATTTATTGAATGATTCAAATGTTCAGTGACCATCGAATGACTGGATTGATGAGGGTCGGATAATATTCGGCTATTCGACTCTAGAATTTTATTTGAGAATGAAATTTTTCGAATACTTGACTTTCGAACTTTATTCGAAATCTTAAAATTTCGAATATTTGACTTCTCATTCGCTTGAATGAGTTATTCAAGTGATAGAATATTCATTTGATTCGGTCCAAAGTATACTTAGCAGGTGCAGGGTGCAAGAGTTGTAGCTCCAATAATTGTGGGAGGATGTGTCATCACGAAATGTTGCTTATAATTAAGTAGAGATTCCACACGTCAATCTACGGGAAACCGAACATTTTGAGAACATTGGGTATGCTCTGAGATCATTGGCGATTTAACCAATTATTTCACCGAAAAAAGGCTGATAGTACTGACTCTAAACGATCTCGACCTCATTCAAAAGCGTTCTGCTCACGATGGCATTACTTTGTTTCGTTTTAATAGGTTTAATTCGAAAATCATGAATTCAGAGAAGGTTCTACTTGCCGTTGTGCGCACACAGGCGTATAGTACTGCTGCAAAAACACTCGCTGTGAAAACAGCTTATCCACGAAAGTGGCTAAAACTCTTTCCAAAGAAAAATCATTTTGCACTCACGTCGCATTCTAGATATAATATATTTGATAAATAAGCATACCATTGACAAGATTAAAGGTTACACAGAATGTGTAAAGTAGCTTTTGTAAAGTGCAGAAAATTTGGTCAAAGCTGTTCAATAGTACTAAATAAATACAAAACTAATACTGGACTGTGTGAAAGTTTTATTGAGAAGTTGCTGCAAGTCGATGGGAGGCTTTCGTGTAGGAGGTTGATGTGAACAATAGACCACCTGTAATAATATCAATCATGTCGTTTATATGAGAGGAGCAAGATGAAATACCTGGTTCATGGAAAAAGGCCTTTGCAACCGATTACAGTAAGCAAAAAACTCTTTGAATTTCTTAGTTAGCTGAAATTGTATCTTAGAGTTAACGAATGACCCGTAAGAAACAAAGCTACTCACGATTTGATAAACTTCGTCGACTTTTAAATCTTCTGAGAGAACATTCACAACAAAAAAACCTGCAAAAATGTTGCTTTTTGTTGAATGGTTTTGGCTTATCGCGATATCGCAGTATAAAATGAGACAAACTACAGCGATGATTGCAACTGTAACATTTGTCCAGAAACATGGTTGTCTGTTAATCAAATTGAGTTCAAATTGGCAGTGCCTAGTGACCTCTGAGCATCTCGTGAGTGCCAACCCTTTACAAGTTTGTTGTGAGTGAGAATCGACATGGTACTATGTTTAGAAATGTATAGTATAGTATATAATATTAGTTTGGCTCGAAAGTTCTGGGACATTTTTAGACGAGATCTTCTACTTCTCGAAACCCAATGCATGTACATCCGACAGAGGTACTATTCGATAGAGCAAAGCAACCTCTACAAGACAGTTTGTAGAAGTTTGCGCTAGCTTCGAACCACCTTAAGTTTGCATTTAGAAGGTGAATCGTACTGAAGGCTCAAAAAATTGGGAAAAATTCATATTTTTGTTCAAAAATCCAAAGGTTCTCCAACTTGCTTAAGCGAATTGTACACCACGTCAGAAACCCATATGTGACATTGCTTAATTTTTCCTCATCTAGAAAACGAGAAAACGTAAATTTTCATGCTCACACAAAAACGAAGCTATGCAGTTTCCACCCATGTATTTGTATTCTACAAGCCCATTGAAGTATAATCGTGACTTTTCAGCTACAGGCCCTAATTTTTGAAAAATATTGACTTTAGCATGGAACACCCGAGTGAGGAAAGCTCAATTCGGTAATTTTCGGAAAATAAGGCCCGTAGAAAGCTGAAAATCTACAGTTACACTTCTAAGGGCTTGTAGTATACAACTACATGGGCGGAAACAGCTCAGCTTCGTTTTTGTATGAGCATGGTTCACGTTTTTTCGTTTTCTAGATGAGGACAAAATACAGCAACGGTATATATGAGTATCTGATGTGATGTGCATTGCTTGAGCAACTTAGAGATCCTAGGATTTATTTGAACAAAGAAACGAATTTTTTTAAATTTCTTAAGCCTTTAGTACTACTCAGATTCTGGATGATTTATGGTGGGTCGAAGTGGTGGGAATGTTTGCATACCATCTTGTGCGGCTTGCTTTGCTCTATCGAATGGTATGACTGCTGGGTGTACATGAATTAGGCTTCGAGATATAGAAGATCTCGTCTGAAATCTAAAAATATCCCAGAACTTTCGAGCCAACCTAATAGATAAGAAACAAGAAGTGAGACCGCTTTTCTATATTTCTAGCGACTGAAGAGTCTTTTTTCAAAGAGCAATTGATTTGTAAACCATAACAACACCCACATATATATGCTACCAATTTCTTCAAAATTTCAAGTTTGCTTAACAATGCAAACCATCACCTCTGAAGCTTATTCATGCAAATACGATGTATGATGAAGTCACAGAGACTCAGATGAAGAGAAAAAGTCAAAAGCCAAGCCCTTGATATCTACTGAGGATCTTGTCTAAAAGCGAAGTCGCTCCATTTACAATAATTTTTGCGGCTTGTACTTTATGTCAGCAGAGCCTTTTATTTTGCTAAGAATGGACGAATTTTGTTGAGGGAGCAGCTGAAAGTTATTATAGGCGCTGTTTTGTCGAGCACAAAAGGCAGTATGCACTCAAGTAGAGTAAAGTTGCGCTAAAGCATCGCAACTTCATACTTATCGAATCCCACTTTTCGGCTGCGTAAGTCATCTTAAGTTACTTCCACAATTTAAGGTTTTGGGCGTATTTCGGGCGTGATCCCGGTGTCTCAAAATGCAGCAACTGCGAACTACAAATGCAATGTGTGGTTTTGCAGATTGATATATTTTATCTCCTGTACAGTCAAAATGCGTTTAAAATGCGTTGTAAACGATTGCAATGTTGCCAAATCTTCGCAACTATAGTCGCTGAAATATGTCTGATGCACACCTTCAGATGTGGACGATACTTATTTTTGAGCAAACGGTAAGATTTGAGGTAAGATGAATGCGGAGCAGCTAATTCTGATTTGATAACTGAGTATCAACTTCTATTATATCTGCAAAGCCAAATTTTGAACAAAGGACTCACAGAAAGAAAGCGTTGGTGCACGTAGAACATAGAAGACTATAGAGAACTAAAGATGGTAATCTTGGTACCCAATAATCTCCAATTCCTAAATTTGGACTGGCAAATTGAAAATTGTTCTATTGAAAATGTCAGTGGAGAAGTATTTGGAAACACACTGAGATAATGCACCAACTCAGATTGCATAGCAAGGCCTGCTTTGCAATGTGCAATAAATCTCTTTTATCTAAATCCGTCACTGCATACAACTATGTAGCATTTGAAGACTTCAAGAAGAGTTTTCTAGTAAAACATTCCATTTTTTCAATCACAAAGCAAGTGTTCTTTGCAAAAGTATGCGCATATCACTGTAAATAGAGATGTAAATTCTTTTGATTTTTGATAGTGTGAATTTATGGTTTGCTTCTCGCAATGATTAAACCACTCCAACACGGTGTTGCTAACAATGAACATAAAGGGTGTCCCAAAAAATGTATCGAACGTTTGATCTTAACAACTTCCTTATATGGAGAGCTTTCGCGGATCTTTGAGTGCCATATGATAAGACTGGTTTCAACCAGGGTCAAGCGTGTGATGCGACTGTCGCAGCGGGGGGTCGTAAAGTGGGCAACTAACAATAAGGTGGGAAGGGGGTCATAAGAGAAAGTAGTTTGGCTGAAAACCGTAAGCTTAAAAGGAAATCAAAAAGCAGATAACCAGTTTATGTTTTTAAGAATGAATTTAGAAAGAAATTAGAAATAAGAATACTAAGGATAAAATTTTTTTTACAAATTCTCAAAAAAAAACATTTCCAAGTCTTACATCCTTCAAAACACTTTTGAAGGATGTAAGATTTGATAAAAAAATTGAAATATATTAATTGGTTTAGGAATCTTGCTTCCGAAGCCTCACTGAAGTCTCACAGACTCGACAAAAGCGCACATTTAGATCAACGATGACAATCAATAATTCGTAAATCTTTTTGTAATGCCATTTATACAGCCTTTACAATTCATATGTACTTTGGATAAGCCCTGCTATTACGGTGCGAAATCTGGTGTTATTTTGTAAATTGTGGATTTTCTTATGATTTTATGTATGGTAGCAAAAAATCAGGAGAGGGGGGTCGTATCTGGGTCGCATCTAAATTTCTTCGGAGCTATTGAAGCTTGTTGGCTGCAATTTTGCTAGAATATGAGATCATCCTCCTACTTTCCCTCATAAAAATTGCAGGCTGTTTTATAACTTCCCTGGTAAGGTACAAAATTTTAAGCTCAAAAATCCCAGTTTTTGCTTTTTAGGATCGCATCTAAATTTCCGAGAGTCGCATTTAAATTTTTTCGAGCTTACTGCACCTCAAGGGATGGAACTTTTTCTATGAATAGTTTGGGCACTATGCTACAGAATCTGTTCTTTGAAGCCTCTCAGTCTTTTCCTGCCTTTAGTTACGAATTTTCAAACTACCGTGCTCATGCACGTTTTTGACATCGTTCTGGAAGGCGCTAAAGCGGTTTTTTCGCGGGGAAAACTGTGGAAGAGGTAGGAAATAAGCTTCTTGGTCGAAAGCATTTTTTGTAGTTCAAGAATGTCATTTTTTCTCCGTGCAAAAATTTGTGTCGCATACGGGAATCGAATTTGCTGGTCTGAAGTATGCCTGAAAATTCAAAAAAATCTTGCAGAATCTCAAACATTATTGAAGGTGTGTATGTGTGCTACGTATGCTGGGCGCACCCACTGGCCTAGAAATTCTGCTTCCGAAATTTCACTGAAGTTCTCACGCAGGTGTTTTTTGAGATTGACGTTCGTTTATGCAGGTTACCGCGAGAAATGTGGGCAGGGGAGGTAAGCGGGATGATGGGGGAGGGTGAGGGAAGGGGGGAGGGGAGGGGGTCGTACGGATGGGTACCTTCAAGGCCTTCAAGGGGGGGGGGGCGTAAATGAGCGTCCCGGATCGCATCAACACGCTTGACCCTGGTTTCAACTTAGAGTATAGAGCGGTCACGATTTCTCTTGGTTACTGTAGGACTACGGTAGATTCCTAGACTAATTTTGAGCTTCTGACAGATGAAAGTTGCTTTTAATTTCAGAAAAAGAACCGCAGGACGTCAAACTAACATTTTAGTTGAGTCACAAACTTTTCCGCTACCGTACTTTTCGCATTGTAACAACGACTTTTGGCTTCTTTCCGAAATTTGCTAAATCAAGGTTACCTTTGCCAAGCAAAGCTCAGTTAAACCTCGAAGAATTCTTCATTCTTTATCATTTGCAAATAGTGGGCGCAAAAAATTATAACATCAGGTTTTAAACGCATAATGATCTGGGCCGGTAGTAATCCCCCCGACCTGGCGGCAGGTCTCGTCGGCAGGTTGCTGGCACCTTTCCGCGAGGTGGCCAGAAACTAAGAACCAAAATTTAGGCCGTCCCAGGCCTTTTTTCAAAAAATTTTCTCGATAAAGTTGCCGCCTCGACTCTGTAGAAAACTTCATAAAAATCTGCGGCTCCAGAACTCCTCCTTTAGTAAAATATCTGGAATTCCAGGAGGAGCTGCCGGCAACTTCGCGATGTCAGTTGCCGGCAACCTGCCGGCAGGTTGCCGGAATCCGCGAGATGGCAGCTGCCGGCAGGTCAGAGAGCACGGGAAATAGCGTGCTCTTTTGAGAGAGCGAGCTGCCGGCATCTCGACGTGCCCCTACCACGTCGAGGTGGTGGCACCTTTGCCGACGGCGTCTGCGAGTTTGCGAATTGCGGCGATATCACACAATTTACGTCAGGCGAAAAAATCAAAAATTCTACTTTTCGTGAAAAAACTATCATTTTTCTCATTATATGGGTTTTTCTTTTTTAAAATGACGATTTTCTTACAGAGAAAAAATCCACTAATGCCTTAGAATCATATAGAACACCATCTTGTTTTGCAATCCTTTCTAAATCTTATTTGCACCAATTTCGCCCCTCTCTCGCTGATATCAATC